CACAAGTTCTGCGACCCTCCACTGTTTTGATCATGGGCTTAATGGGGGCTTGACACTCATTGGAGTGTCTTGACATTTGGTGCTTGACCTTAGTCTCTCGGTCTTGCACTTGGACGTCACAGACTCAGATGGGCTGAAAAGTTTGCGAAGTTGCAGCCCGATACAGTCAGGGACACACGGCATCGGGCACCTAAACTGTGAACTCACCTGCTGACCCCCGGAAACAGTCGTTGCAATGTGACTCAAATCCACAAGAATTTCAATCTGAAGAAAAAACACAAGGACCACGGACCATGCCATGGACCGTGGATGAGATGAGATGACTGGACCATGGATGAGATGACTGACTTCAATTTTGTTTTGTCAGGGATAAATTGCTGAATGTGTTGGTTGTCGTAGCGTCCACGTCATGTTCAGTTTCCTTTTTTCCTTCTCCCATCGTGTTTCTTGTCATGGTTATTTATTCTTTTTGCTTTGACCCTGACAACCGGCAGTTATTTCGTATGCTCACAACATTGCCCTCCTGACTCCTGGTGTTGCCAATGCCACCAAAACAAACTATTGGTTTGGCTTTGCATGTGGATTCTAGATTAGTTGTGTCCTATCTTAGCAGAGGCATGTCTACACCAGGTTTACCAAACACAACAATCCAAACTGTATCAACCGAGTTTTGAAGTGTTTCTTGTTTCTTATCGCTGTACCACTCCGACTCCTATCCATCCTGTGACCTGTGTGTTTGCCTTCTTCAAGTTTACTCAGAACTTTGATCTTCTAGCATTTTGGCTGCTTCTTCTCACTGTTTTTGGAGCAAGTGTTAGTCTGTGTTTGTTTCTTATGATTGGTTTGTCTAGTGCAGCTGCTTTGTCCATTGCATCAATGGTTCCCGGCTGTGTTTGTTTTTGTTATGAAGTTCTGCGGTTGTTCTCCGGTCTGATGTTCTGTTCATTGTCCTAGTTTCCTCTTTGCTTCTATTTGTTTCTATGACTGAGTGACTAGTTCCAAGTTTGCTTTTCCCATTTATCCTCTTTCCCTTCCATTTTATGAATGGTTCCTGGCTTTCTCCCGTTTTCCATGAACAGTTCCTGGTTTTGTTGTTGAGAATTATGAATAGCTCAGTATTATTATGAATAGTTCCTGGCTTTGTCTTTCAATTGTATGAATAGTTCCAGGGATTGTTGGGTCATCTTTATGAATAGCTCCTAGGGTTTTATGAATAGCTCCTAGGGTTTTATGAATAGTTCCAGGGATTGTTGGGTCATTGTTATGAATAGCTCCTAAGGTTTTATGAATAGCTCCTAGGGGCTCACTGACAAAGAAGCCAGTGCAGCTCCCAATGTAAATGCATTAGGCTTTGGGCAGGAGCAGGAAGTGGTGAGCACCCACAGCAAGAAGCATTGGTTGCATCATGTTGCATCTAGATATACACCTATGCAACTGATGCAACCATATGCAACCAATATAGCATACGACTAGTGACTAGTTGTAGAGTTGGAACAGTAATTTATTATATATACATGCCGTGGCGTGTCAGTACCATCCTCAGGTTTCAGTGCCAAGAGACCTGGCTTCTCCAAACGGTGAACATGGCCCGCTCCAAGGCCACAAGCAGCGGACTTTGCCGGCACGGCCGCTCGCCTGAAGGGTCGCTTTGCGGTCGATGTGCGGTTCCCTTACGGACTTGACCAAGTTGTTGGTTCGTCATCAGGGTTGAGGATGAGGATGAGGAGGATGAAGGTGGGTGAGGAGTAGATAGAATAGCTGCTTTTTAGCAAGCCAATCCGGTTTCCCAATATCCTATCTACTCCAGGTTGATGAATGATGGCAATGACAAGTTCTACAGCTCAGGCTGCCACCCCTAGCAACGCTGAACTGGCAGCCTCACTTGGAGGAGAAGTCGCTGTTACGGTTCGTGTTGACGCACTGGATCTAGTTATTTAGGCGTGTTTTGCTCAAACCGTCTTAAAACATTATCTTAATGTCAACATAGGATTAACAACCCCCCCCCTATTAGTCTACCCAGCGTTCAGGCCCCAACAATAAACTAATTTGAACTATGAATTTCCACAGTCACCACCCTCTAATAAAAATTTTGCTTGGCTGAACCCCCTCCCTATTAGTCTACCCCCTGTCCCCCCAGGAAAAATATATTTATTCAAATATATATATATATATGTGTTTAATTAATTTTGTTCTTTTTGCCTTTTCAATATTTTCTCGTCTTGCCATGGTGAAACTGATCTTCTGATTGATTACCAATGCTCTCCCAAAGCAACAGTGTTCCTAGAATTTCCAAAAACTCTCTAGGAAAATTCTTTCATTTTCCCTTATTAAAACTCTATCAACATCTGCAATTTGAGAAGCTCAGAAAGAGTACCCCCCATACACCCCCTACCCCCCTCTAATAGTGTGGTACCCCCCCCCTATTAGTCAACCCCATCCATGATGAGCTCTCATGGACCTCATGATGAAAGGGCATTAGTATTTGGGCTCTCATGGATCTCATCATTCCATCCCAGCTCTTCCAAATACTAATTCCCTTTAATTCCAATTCTTCCAAATACTAATTCCCTTTCATCCCAACCCTTCCAAATACTAATTCCCTTTCATTCCAATTCTTCCAAATACTAATTCCCTTTCATTCCAATTCTTCCAAATACTAATTCCCTTTCATCTCAATTCTTCCAAATACTAATTCCCTTTCATTCCATTTCTTCCAAATACTAATTCCCTTTCATTCCAGTTCTTCCAAATACTAATTCCCTTTCATCATCAGGTCATCCACTATTAGGGGGATGTGATCTCCAAAACCTCCAATCTCAGACCTTGTTGACCTTCTAGGGGGGGGGGCGGGGGGACCCGTTGATTAATACGACGTCGACATTAATGACTACCTTGAGTCTCCAATGGCCATCTTTAAGTCGCCTTTCCAAGAAAAAGAGATTTCTGAAAGAAAACACATGATTTTGCATATTTCACGAAATGTTCATTTTTTGGTTTGTGCCCTGTCAGATCCTCCTTAGTGTCCCGAGACCTTTTTCCGGCATCCCAAAAGGTGTTTTTACGCATCCGCACCGGACGCGTCCGGATGACGATTCACTCTGTATCTTCTTTTGAGTCCTCATCTCTGAAAACGTGTTTTTCGAGCAAAAACACAAGAATATTAGACCAAAAACAAAAACGCAGAAGAAAAGGTCTTTGGAGACTCAAGGTATATACTGTAGGTGTTAGTATGTTTCTATTTGCACATGCGTTTGTTTGAAGGCTTTATTGGTTTGAGTTTTGGAGGGCAGTAATGTCCAAAAGGAGTCGAGACAATTCTGGGTGGTGATTTGGATGTTGAAAGGTTGTTTATTTGTTCATCCCTGTATGGGAATGCTGATTGTATCCCATTGACTGTCATAAAGTGTTAGATTAATTATATACTGTACACATATATATATATATATGTATACACGAGGAGCATACAATCATATGTGTTTACTTTGAAGGCATGGGGTTTGAGCCAGGGTTTGGACCGGCTCTCATGCAGGAGTGGGCCATGCCGCTGAGTGTCTCAGCTTGAGAGTCGGGTCAGGAATCCCTTGCCTCATTGCAAGCAAGGAATGAAGAGCTCAGGATTCCAAAGTATCAGAACACTGAGATATTCAAACCTCAGTGACTTGAGGCCCAGTGACCCTGCTGCACGAATCACTTGTGTCACGACCATGTGCCACGAGGCCTGACCGGCATGCAGATCCTTTTGGTGACATGGGCATGTTCGACAAGCCGCCGGAGTTCAAAACCAAACGGAGAAGAGAGCGGCCTGCAGATTGAGGACAGATCTGAGAGATGGAGCACTCCATTCTTCAGACGTTTGCAGGTGACGTGCAGAGGACTTGTTTTTGATGCTTCAAGCGGAATCAAGCCACAAGAAATCGAGTTGAGACGAGCTGGCACGTCTAGCCAACTCACCAAACAGTTTGTGGTTGTTTGACTGCCATCCATGTGGGTTTTGCCGCAGTGAATTGTTGCTAGTTTACCGCGATGACTCAGATGTAGCTGTTCATGAATCTATACAATGATATTTCATAGCCTGCGATCGAGTTGATCCCGGAGTCAGCCAACATGTCAATATTAATGATGACCACTGCATGCTTTAGAATCATCGACTATTTGGTCCTGTCCTGGCCGATTGGGTGGCGGGGAGGCTGCAGTCTACAGCTGAGCTGCTGCACTGGCCGCCCTCTAACTGGCTCCTTTGTGAGTGTAGCATGGGATATTCCCAGGTTTTGTAGGATTGACATTCATGGGTGCCGGACCGGATATTTGTTGATGAGACTATATACGTGCATGTAGTTGCATTGAAGGCCTTGAAGAGGATTGATGTGGCTGAGTTTTTGGTTGTAGGGTCCCATGGCTTGTGATCAGTACAGTAGGTGTTTGTCGCGTATCACTTGATTAGCCTTATGACGCCCGCAAATGCGTGAGCGATCAGAGTGCATCCCTTGAAGGGCTGCCGTGAGCCGATGCCCGGTAATGGAATAAGTCCCTTGCGTGTGCCGAGGGCAGGTCACAGGAGGCTGGTGAAGCCAGGCTTTGATGGGACAAGATCCAACAACCTTCACGAATGCGCAGAACCATATATATATATTACATATATATATATATATATATATGTATGATTCATATCTTATATTCTTATATATTTATTCTCATGGAAGAGTGACCTTCAGCACACTTGTTGATTTGTTCAGTCAAAGAGCTGTGCTATATATGTGTCAGCAGGACCCCTAATTGATTGATTGCGGCTGTACGGGAAGATTTCTGTTGCTCAGCCATGGAATCCTTGGACAGACCTCGCAGAAAAAGATTTAGAATCAACCCAAGAAATGGAACAGAAGCACTGCCGAGCACAGCCACTCACTGCTACCTGAAAACCGTTCAAAAATACCATGTTGGATTGAATCTCTCCCTTCCAATTCTGCCACAGTCATTCATCGCCTGAGAGGTCAGGGAGTCCGATGACGATCCTCCCGTCGATCACCAGTACTGCAACGCTGGCGCAAGGAGCGCTCCACCGCGACAACGTGGAGCGACAGCGACAGGGCGCGACGACATGGTTAGTTGGGAGGGTGAAGGGGTGAAGTTGTTGGCCTCCACCTGATAGCGTCCGAACGCTACGTTCGTAGCGAACCTTGTTCCTAGTAGTGCCAGGAGCTACGTTCGTAGCCTCCTTGCTCCGTTCGTAGCGATGCCCTTTGTTCCCAATAGCGTCCTTGCTACTAGTAGCTGAGGTTTTTGAAGGCCAACGACTAGGTTCTTAAAAACCAATTGTTGAAGGCCTTCGATGCCTTGCTGAGGTTTTAACACGATAGGGTTGGCTAAAACCATTCCACCAATGCTGGGGTTCGTTGTAACATGACATCAACAACCCATAACAACCCCAAAACAGACCTTCAACCAACCATAGCATTAGTTGTGGGGGCTTCCCTGTTGGCTGGACCATGCGACTTTCTGGCTGTGGATCGTGGGACTGCGCTGTGGCCGCCTGTGAAGCATGTGTTTGGGGCAAATGTTTGTTGGAAAGCTCCGCCGTTTCGTGTTGCTTTGCCAGCTTTGCTTTCGGAACCTTTGGAGACAAGAAGATCCTAAGGGATGAAGATGTTCATCCGAGATGTCTCAGGACATGTGTACCACACTTCCTCGATGCCTCCGCGCAGCCGGACCTTGTCCCCGTCACCTGGGCGGAACGCGTCGGGTGGTTGGGTCCACGGGAGGCATGGGGAAGACCGCGACAGGGCGTTACTTAGGCTTTGATGTTGACTTAGCAGCTTAGCGCTAGCAGTGCGCTAGCACGATGCTGGCAATCAACCAAGCCGGTGACCAAAAAAGACGAGAAGACCACCAATCCTAATATTCTGGGGTTCAGACATCCACGCAGACACTTCTTCACAAGTACTTATACAATCCATTCCGAAAGATTCCATGAAGCCACTAGATGTAGAATGGGTAGCACCGTCCCAGCTCGTACCCCATTGCTCCGGTCACTTCACTGAGTAGCATCCCTCCTGTTGCCTCAGGTGGACAACACTTAACTCTGTTGAGACTGGCCCTTTACCATCAACACATTGCGTTGAACATGTGGACTGCGGTCCGCGGTCTTTGGGAAACCCTTCAACACAAAAATCAACACACAGTTCGTTGCCATACCTTTTGTTGAGGTCCATGGATACGACAAACCCAATCACCAAGGAATGTATCCCACCAGCAGGGAATTGCCATGTTTGGGACCTCTCACAAAATTTATGAGCTTCTACAAATCTCACAAACATGTATTTATATAATATCCTTACACACCTAAGCTATCACCTCTCACATGCCTCTCACACTGCTGTTGATTATATATCCAAATGAAATCAAACGCACGTCATTCAATTTCAGTCACTGAACTGCAGTCTCCTCACCACAGTCTCAGCACTTTGCCTCGCTTCTCGCAGATGCAAACTGGGATCAACAACGGGGTGCATGTTCGAGGTCTACATCGGTCAACTGTGGGTCAAACCTGTGTGTACCTGGTTAACCAACGACAAGAGAAGGGCAGCAGGCCCTATCATCGTTATTAAACATGTAGTAGATGACTAGTGGCAGTTTGACTCTTGACTCTTCTCTTTCCATTGGTGAAGGTTTCTGTGTTGATGTCCGCTTTATAAACTTCTATTCTCATCATCGGTCACTCACGGATTCGCAGATGCACAGATGGAGCCCACAGATGGTTCGCTTTTGGTCGCGTTCCTCGGCCGAGCCTGAGGAGCGGCTTGCCCAGAGATCCGTCACTTAGAGAATCGCCTGGGAGCCCGGAAGACGGAGCGACACGAAATCAATGGATAATGGATGGTGGGTCAAAGCCATTGTGTTAGGCAGGTGGGGCGGACAAAATACTTTATTTATATTTATTTATGATGGTCATTCACTTTCATTCAGGGGACCCATGGCCCATTCATTTTGCTGTAGCTAGCTCAGTAGCCACTCCTATTGTTTTTAAATCAATTGTGATGGTTGAAACTACTTTGTACTTTGTACTCATGCTTTTGTGTTTGCCTGAGTGATGTCTTGACAGAAGTTGTTTGGACATGTCTATGATGCCAGCTGGCATGGTGCACATAGAGAGGGGGAAACAGGTTGTTATTGTTCTTCATTCAGATTCCAATGTAGCCTTTCGCCAAGGCTTTGTGTTTTGAACCGGTGCTGACTGAAGAACATGAGACACGGCGAGACATGTGTATAGCATATTATTATATATACTGTATTCCGTTTTTATTTCCCCGGCTGTTTGCCCCTCTTTGCAGGGCAACAAGCTTGTAGAGTGGGACAGTAGGGCCATGAAGACACCGATAACCATAGTGATGGCTCCAGCATTTGAGGGTTGCTAGCTTTCATTGCACTCTTGTTCCGGTTGTTCATACAAGTGGGATTACACAAATATACACCAACATCCATCATATAAACCAATGTTTAAAGTCAATGAGAGATCAACCATGCAGCTACGAGTTGAACAACCATCAAGAATCCAACCGCGGGATTGACCCTGACTCTCCCTCCATCGGATTAAGATGTAAGTTCCCAGATTATTTTACTTGACAGAACCCACACGAGCTCCAGGCAACGAAGTCGGACGAGGACTGGTTTGCGTCGGTTTTCGTCATGGTCCATTTGGCGGGTTGTTGTTTGGGTGTTTTTCTTCACTTCCCAGGCGCTTGGAGGCGGACGGCAAAACCGTAGAGTTTGAGTTGCTTCAGCGCTCAAGACATTTCAGGAGTACTGCTACGGTACCCAGAGAGTGATTGTTGGAACTTACAGGGTTCGCGGCCAACTGGCAGACCTTCCTGTTGTTCAATAACAGCTTTGAAAGGCGGATTAGACCCAATCATCCTTTAATCATTTTTAATCGAATCCTTCCCTAAGCACATACAGTGCTTTGGATGGTGAGCTGCAGGACGGAGTGGCTTGGCTCAGCGCTGGCCAAGGAGTCAGGCCAGCTTGAAGTGGAGAAATCTGGCAGGTAAGAATCCCTAAGCGTGTCATAGAACGATGTTTTTGCGAAGAAACTTTTGCTGACATGGTTTGATCTTGTCAAAGTCGGATTCCCAGAGACTTGAACCCTTTTTCAAACCACGAGGTGGGGACCCTTCCCAACTTCCCATGCGATGAAAGGAGGGGTTTCTGATCAAACTCAGTGATGGGCGATAGGCGATAGGCTTAAGGGTTACTTTAAAGAGCTTTGTCCCATTGTTACAAGGAGTATGAGAAGGCAGAACAAACATCACAGTTGTATTTTGGTAGTGCAGTTGATACCGGTTCCCCTTTCTGAACGCACCCAACATTCACCGGTTTTGTAGATCTCGCATCGATCCCTTCCGTCGCGATCCAGGTGAGATCCGCAACATCCACGTGCGCGGACGCCCGTGAAAAATCGAGCGAATGTGGCGACGACATCGTTTCAACATGAATTTAAGCTTAGCAAGGAATGTACATGAGCGACTGACAAAATTATGATTTACTTTCTTGACCGAACCCATGTGCGAAGGTGTTCATCAATTGCCCCATATGCATTATGTTGAACATAATTGAATGGATTGTTTTCCGGAAAACATTTCCTCGGAAATATCCCAAATGATGATCCAAACGATGAGCAAATGCTAATGTAAATGTCATGCCAGGCACACTGCAAACCGACTTCCAAACATATACTAGCTTTTACTGTATGCATGTGCCGAGCTCCCAGGTCTCCGCTTTTGTGTCGTGATCCTTGCACAGCCCACTGCCAAAAGAACCCAAGCACATAAAATGACGGTTTTCTTTCCATTTGCACAGGAGAAAGCACTGTAAGCCTCTAACCTCAGCTTTTGAGTTGGCTGATGTGTTTTGTGTTCAAGTCTATGTGCAGGTATGCTATCTAAGTATGGTTTGAGGAAACTGTTGGAAAACGATATGCGCCCCACCAAAAATGATCGAACGATATGGACCCCACCAAAAATGATCATCACGTCAAAAGGTGTTTATTAATATTGCATTTACTATATGCATGTAAGTACAGTACTGTTTGCGTGTACTCTTAATATCTACAATTACGTATGCAAACATTATCATTGGCTTATAAACCTGTCAATGCGTACACACGCAAAACATACACATTTGGCCCTGCGAGGGGGAGATCAGAACACAAGCACATCGAACAATCCAAGTATGTACAGACAGGAAGCGCCAACAAATACGGACTGCAGGTCTGACTTGTGGAGCACAGCACCAGCATCCTGATCAAATCATGAGCTTTGTGACATATTCCCTGCACTGGCCGGGATGGGGGACCGATGAGGGGGGGGCATCTTAAAGTCTTCAAGTATCTCCTCAGCCACTCACAACCAGCGCATGTCATACACGTGGATTCTTGTGGGTCCGCAAGCGGCCTGAGCATGTATGCAAGGCAAGCAGACCGATAAATTTTGCACTTGGAGTCATATCATATTATCCAATTAGTAGCTTGGAAGAGGAGTTCACTGCTCATCACTTTCCCAAATTCCAAAATTCAGAAGCCACGGCTTCATTTGTCCTTTGCACACTCACAGCGCAAAGCTATCTCGGCCAAACACCTAGGGTTTTGGAGCTATCACAGCCAACCATCAACCTCCGAGTTTGGGCATCATCCGGGAGAACTTGGTGATCGCCTTCCAGGGATGTGGCCTCTTGGCTGGAGTAGCATCCAGCACAAATCGCTCGCCCGATGAAACGATGTTGCTCCGAAAGAGGTTGAAACCTTGAGAAAGTGGAAGCTATTTACATGTGATCCAGGCACTGAAAGATGCTTCATGAGATCCATGAGATGGAAAGGGCTCAGAGAATAGGATGGTCTTGGAATGGCTATCGCTTTTTCATCGGTTTCGCTCAACCCTGCCCAGGCTGATCCTGGCAGGTATTTTCAGCAGTTGTAGTTCAACACTCTTGTTTTTGTTTACCCCAGACTGCTTGCTGCTGTTCAGCCGTTCAGAAGCAGAAGATATGACTGTGCTTGCTGTTAGCCAATTTGTTGCACAACATATCCCTTGCATTCAAAAGGTCCTATTTAAACATGATCGGAATTTCACATGAGCAATATGTTTCATGTTTTTTTAAATGATTCGTTTGGAAGCGGGCTGCGAGCTCGCACCATACTATGGTGATTCTGCAAGTCAGCGCCAAGTTGGCGCTCTGGTTTTGATGATATGAGCACGATTTGTTGGCAGGTGTGTGTGTGTGTGTGCGTGTGTGTTGCCAAAGGATTTTGCACCATGAACTTCATCCTCCTCCCTTCCCAGCAGCTATAGCGCCGCATCCAGCAGCTCCAGATACGGCACACCTTTCAAACCTGGATGTGTAAAACACCATGTTTGTTTGGTTTGGTGAAGCACGACAGCCGCCCATGTGCAAGGAGAGGTGTTGCTTCCCCTAATGGAGACGATGCCATACCACGCCCACGAATTGAAATGCGAGAGCTGTTCAAAAGCTCGTAGAGAGGCGCCACATATAAGCAGGTGGTTGACGTTCAAATGATTCCTTTACACAATGTGAATTGGTTTTCCTCACTTTGCCCATCAAATCCTTGAATAATAAGTCACTGTGACTGGTATGTTGCTTCCTTTGACAGATGAAGTTGATCCACAACAACATGCATTCTTTACCGGATTTGTGTGGCTGCTGGAAAGGAGCGCAGTTTTCACCACCTTGGCTGGAGAGTATCCCAGTGCTTACGGTGTGTCCAGATGGTGCAGTGGTGCAGCACGATAGGCTTCTGTTGTATTTAACACTGCAAGTGGTTTCAGTGGCGCTTCGATGTCCTTATGTTCAGCTCAGCAAACCCTTAATTTGTCAGAATGTGGAAACTCTTCCGCCACCAAAGATTGTCATCCCGACAGGGGCCATTGAACCTCCCGCGTCCCAGGCAGGGTCCGTGTCTTCGTGAACAACGAGCACAGCTTGGATGCACAGCTTGGGGGATCTTGGGGGTGTTGAGACGTCTGAAATCCAGGCAGAAATGCAGAAATCTTGGATCCAGGCAGACGTCTCGGTGGTTTTGCACTCGTGTTCCACTCATCCCGCTCTCGTCGACCATTTTGACAAGCCGTTTTCACGCGGGGAGGGTTCCCCGAGGTCTCGAGCTTCCGGAGACCAACCGCCTCAGCAACACCTCGCCCTTCGGTCTGGGAAGCCCAGTCAGCCCTCTCTACTGTACGTATGACGACGCGGACGTCCTTCTCGACGGAGGCGTCGTCCTGAATGGACTTCGGTTGGTTTGGGAACCTTGCGTGCCCAGGATTGGTTGCGTCATGAGAGGTCCTGAACAGTGCGAATTTTGGGATTGAATCTGCAGATCATGATCCTTTGCCCACACACCACCCCAGCTGGATAGCTACAAGCACAGCTACCAGGCGTATGGACCGTGCAACGAGCTCTGTTCAGGGCGAGCTCAGTTGCAAAAACACGCAGAACCCACCAGACTGTAATAGGTCCAGCACAATCACCTCAATCCACTGTGATCTCTTCGGATTGGAAGGGCTACCGCGTGCGGAGGGGCTGCTCCGCTTGCGGATTACATCATCAAACACCTACCTAGCCATCCCTTATAAACATAATAGTTTTAATAGTTGGACTGTTGTATTTGTTGTCAGCAGGTGCACCAGTTGAATTGATATATTGAAGATTTGCCACAGTAATTGCATGTACATAGAAGCTGTTGGACTTTTTGTTTTCGAGCAACTTTCAACACATCAATGCAAGTTGGAAGCACAAACGTGATTGTGCACCAACGCGACCTTCTTCATTGATACCCTGGAAACCAGGGCACGATCCGTTTGGTTTGCGGCGTCCTCCGTGCTAAGCTGAGGCATCGATTGGACGAAGAAGTATCGTTGTGGCCTCAAATGAAAAAGACAGACTCTCCATGCGCTGGTGCTTTGCTTTCGTTCAGTGGCCAGCTGAGGCAAATACCTGGCCAACGCTCATGCGATGCGGTTTGCAGAGTTTGAGATCAGGGCTTTGCCAACGCAGGTGCCTCGCAAGAAAGGAGTGTTGTTGAAAGGGTATTTGTTTATTTTGACATGGTTGGTTTGTTCTTTGCCATCATTGGTTCTTGATGGCAATTGCCCACTTAGGGATGCATTCCAACAGCTTTGTCAGCTGTTTTCACAAAGGATTGTCATCTTCAAGACTGAAGTGATCTCTTAAGTGTGCAGGATTTAAATTATATTATATATATTATCAATGTCACCTTTGGCACAACCGTTGGCCACGGTGCCCTTTTGCCGCAAGGAACCAGATCCTGGTGACCGGCCACATCCGTCGCCGGCCTGGTCACCGTCTGAGGTGCTCGTGATCGGAGAGACCGCCACCTCAGATCAGAAGACGATCCCGGCGCAGAAGCCCATTTTGGAGGCCGTAACCGAGAACTCACACGTCGTGAGTGACCAAGTCAAGACGGGAAGAAGGAACCATGTAATGTCCGCCTCTAAACAATAACCCCCCCCCCTTGATCAAGTGCGGGCCCCAAATAATGTGAAATCCAGAAAAATCCTAGAAAATCTTGATTGAAATTGGAAATGAAAGGAAAGGAGATTGAAGGAAAGGAAATGAAAGGGAAATAAAAGGAAATGAAAGGGAAACAAAAGGAAATGAAAGGGAAATGAAAGGAGAATGAAAGGAAAGAAAAGGAAATGAAAGGAACATATATGGAAAGAAAAGGAAATGAAAGGGAAACAAAAGGAAATGAGACCAGCCAGGTTTGGTTTAGCATTATTTCAGGTCTGGTGTAGTTGAAGGTTTGGGCAGCTTGTGGGGGGTACCCTTTGTGGGTTGATTTCAAACAACAAATGGCAATGCCCAAATAAGAAACTTTAAAAGGAAAATGCAACAGCCAAATCAGAAATCCTAAAAGTTTTGAAACGAAACAAAAGGGTTGACCCTAAACAACCATGGCCTTCAATAAAGCTGATGCTTTTCTACCAAAAGGAAATCTAAAGGGATTTTAAGGGAAACCACCTAAGGAACCAGCCAGGTTTGGTTTAGCATTATTTCAGGTCTGGTGTAGTTGAAGGTTTGGGCAGCTTGTGGGGGGTACCCTTTGTGGGTTGATTTCTAACAACAAATGGCAATGCCCAAATAAGAAACATTAAAAGGAAATGCAACAGCCAAATCAGAAATCCTAAAAAACGAAACAAAGCAAGGCAAATCAGAATCAGGTTTGGAAGCAGCTGAGAGTATATAAAATAATATTAAGTTTTGGAGTCAGCCCCAAAAACAAGATCCCAAAAAATATTTAGGGGACATTTATTGGGGGGGCATTTATTGTTATGAGGTCGACATTACGGAACACGTTCTTCCCGCCGGGAACTGGTCGAGTTCTTTCTCAGTTGGAATATGGAACATGATGTGAAAATCACCATCACCGGTGTCGTTTCGTTATAGACGAGTTTGAAGCTATGGCATTATAAACATTTAAAATATTCAATTTTATGTATAATTACTACAATAACATGGCCCGTAGGTGTGTTGCACCCCTGGTGGTGTCCGCAATCAAGTACAGCAGCTCATAGTGACTGTCATAGTGTTTGTCTCAATATGTCTCAATGTTTTCTCATGTTTGTGCCGTCTGCCATGCTATACTTGATGCAACCAGATCCCCGCCGCGCTCAAGACTCGCACAAGTGCACCCCTCATGGTCAGAGAAACTCAAAACGCCGCAGATGGGTAGATGGAAAGGAAGCGAGTGCTGTTCATGGTGTTCATCATACGGAGAAGCGCTGGTCGAGTCTTTTTGGTAAAGAAGCTCGAGTAATCCGCAACAGAATTTGGCAATTGGCAATAGCCGGTAGGGCTTAGCTATAACCTCGAGCATCCCTCACCATAGGCACAACCAGCAAGCGGAACTGGCAAGAAACGTATGTTGCATTCTCCACGTGTGCTAAGACATCAAGGCGGAGCGGATCAAACCGCCGCTGCGCTGGACGTTTCCACCCATGATATATATGTATATATGCATTTATTTATTCTATTATATATATATATTTTTTTTTGTTTTGTGTGTGTTTTTGTTTAAATTACTTCTTAAAATAAGTGAAAAGAAGGCTCAAACAGAACTGGCAGACATGTGAACATGTATTTTTCATAGGTTTTGCTTTGGTGACTCTCCCGTTGTGCGGCGGACCTTTGGCGGTTCCTGATGCTGGATGCTGCTGGCCTGGGCGTCGTATGCGTGAAGGTCCGGAAGGCTTCGGCAGCTTAGCTGAAATGATGCGAGTTCCGGACCAAATCTGTGGATATTTGTGGCTGGTTTTTCATTGGAGCTTTGTCGAGCTTTCCCCAAAGTCTTTGTCGGAGCTTTTGGGAGCTGAAGCGATGTTGTCGCTTCGATGGTGAGACGGCCATGCTGAGAGGAAAAGCACATGCTGAGAACTTGGTGAAACATCGATGGCTGTGGCTGGTTATGGCCATGGCTCAACAAGAGCATACCCAGAAAGAAGGACATGTTCTGAACCTCCTGGTTTCGCCACGTCCAGCGCGAGTGGGCCCTGAGGAGCTGAAGCTGATTGTGGACAACTTAAATGATGAGCCACGGCTGAAGGGGATGGTGACAACACATGACAACACTCAGGGTAGAGGGAGGGTGACAACACGGGTGTGTGTGTTTCTTGGTGTAACAGCAGCAAGCCACCAGATGGAAGAACTACACGGTACACACCTGGCGAATCGCCCCTAACCAGGACCCAAAAAAATCCTTTGCACAAGTTGGCGCTTTTGAACTTGGAATTGTCGATGTCAATGCACCACATCAATTGGCCAAACCGGTGTCTCCACCTGGTGTGTTGGGGCCCAGCCGCGCTTTCGTGTTGGCCCACCCAACTTGTCGTAGCACGAACAGCACCTCCTCTTTTGATCGGCAAAGTGTCAACAGACGACAGGAACTGGTGCTGACAACGGACTTGCTCCTGGGCGAGAAGCTCCTGGATGAAGGAAAACAACTGGGGTTGATCGGCCAGGACGCCGCCAAAACTTTGCGCAGCTGAGTTTGTGGTCAACACATTTTGGAGTCGTTTGGAGTGGATAAAATGTCTCTTTTGCCATGTATTTTGAGCACATGTCATTAAAGGACACCCCTTGAATTGGGCAGTTGAGTGCAGCTCAAGAGCGGGTATTTTGTGGTATTTGGGGATACGGGGATACACTTTGGACCTCAAACCAAACCGAATGTCCCTGGTGTTTCGAGAAGAAGTGAACACATAAACAACAAACAAACACAGATGAGTCGACAGTTTAAAGCCGTGTGGAACCCAGTCTGTGTGGAACTAATAATTTGAACCCATTGCAGCAGAGCTTAGGGAAGCCTTGTAAGACATTGGTCTTTCCCTCTCGGCCAGGAGCTGGTTGAGTCACTTCCGCCGCTCAGCTGCGCTTTCCCCAACTGATGAAGAATGCATCATCCCAGGAGACAGACAGTGGGTGTTCATGGTCAAACGACGAGGATGGAAGATGTGACATGTGAGATGACGAGTGATTGGGGGCGTGGCATGTGTTTCATCGGCGTGGAGGTCGAGTCTGCTGTGTCCGGTGCGACAGCGGCAGAGGATGACCTTGGGAAACCGTGTGGCATTCCAATGCTAGTGCTGAAAGCCTCAAAAACACACACTCGGGGTAAAGGACGTACGATTTGGTTGCGCCATCTCCCAAAGGCCTAAGTGAGTAAAACAGGTAATTCTATGGCAATATGATGCAATATGCAAGGCGGCTCCACCATCTCAATGGCCCAAACTTAACACCAATCCAGAGACGAATGCATTTTGCCTTCCATCCATCCAAGTTCCAACCATTTCAAGCTGCACGAATGAACGCGTCGAGCGAACCAACGCAACGGCTGAAGATCTTGTTCTAGCTACAACCAGGGTCCAGCAGGAAGTGGGTGGTCATGATCCTCTCGCAGGTACGTGCAATGTGAGTCCAGATTGCATATCACGGCACACTTGAAGTGTCTTCATTGAGCAGTGACTTCAAGCATGCCTGTCGCTCCCCTGCTTCAACACTGAAGCCAACCGCTCCTATCACTCCAAGGGTTACACACACAGTTTGCTTGAATTCATAAATTTTGGACAGCCAAAGCTGAAGAGATAGAAACACCCAACGGTTGCAGAATTACCGTAGCGAGTTGGTTTCGAGCAAGCTGTTGTTCTGAGGGCCACACAGATGTTCTAAAGGCAGGTTGCACTGATATCCGAGTATAATTGGACACTTCAATGCAAAACTTGGCACCAAAGATCCAGCTGGATCCAGCTCCAAGGCTTCACATGTGGATGAATGGCTCCAACAGCTGGCTGGTAATGTTCAAACATCCAATTATCAGCTGGCTGGCTGGTAATGTTCCAACAGCTGGCTGGCTGGCTGGTAATGCAATTATCAGTTTCTTGGACGAGCACATCTGATTCTTGACCCTCACACGTTTGCCAGATTCGTGACTTCGTGCCCTTCATATCACATAAATTCACATATTTTTTGTGGGTACTGGATCCGGAAACTCCATTGAGCAGACACATGGCCGGACGAAAGTAATTCAAGCAAAAAGATCCTACTCTGAAGCGGCCGGAGACTGGCTAAGGCAATTGGAGCTGAAGATCAAAGAGAAACATTTGCTCAACAGCCAGAGCAGGCAGAGTGCCAAGAGAGCACCATTGATTAGGGGGAAGGACGGAACCTACTTTACTACACTGGAGGAGTTGTTGTCATAAACGTATTTAGCGATCGCTTTGCCATATAAAACAACATGCGATTTGGATTGTTTTGCATTATTTGGGGACGACGAGCTGTTGGTATGTGTTTCTTCTGAAGGGGGTTCGGGGGTGCCGAGCGAAGACTGTCGGAAGCATTCGTAAGCCCTTCGTAAGCCATGTCCTACTACCAAAAAGCACGGCCCTCGGCCCTGAATTCATCATGGTTCGGTGTTAGAGGATGACCTGTGGTCATGCAAGGGTTGTCCACCGAACAGTCATTTTTTCAGGGAGTGTAGTTGAAAAGGGGTACCATGAGTGTGCCATCCATTGCGACATCCCTGAAGAGACGGCTTCGTGCAGGTATGAACCTCCGATTGACCTCTCCTTCTTGAATATGTCCTGCATGAAGGAGAACCAAGTTTGATGTGCGTCATAGCCTGAACCTTGATAGCCTATGTTTGGGAGCGCGATGTCACAGATCGGGATTGCATTTCGGAAAAGGGTGACCAAGCCTTTCTCAGCATGAACGTGGACGTTGGACTACTGACTACGTTGGGCTATTGGTAGTGCAATGCAATGACGGATGTCCTCATCAGTCCCTGCGGGATCTACTGAAGGAATGAGGCACACGCTGCTAGGCCTTTTAAACCTTGATTTAAACCTGTTGAATTGACACAGTTTGTACGTAGTACGTAGCATCAGCATTGGCATAGCATGTGTTTAGCGCAGATAGCACCCCCTGAGCCACAAATGGCGGAATCACTTGCTGAAATCAACTGCACATCAGTGATGAGCAAAAACCATAGACTATACAGTTTGTCAGACCAAATGATGTACAGCACTTTTGATGTTCTTGGAACTCAGTACTCGTAAATGCTTAGGAGATTGATTTGGGAGGCTCATGGTTGGCCAAAACCATGCCAAAGGGTTTAATGTGCGTGATCGCAGTGACGAGCCACCAAGCTACATCATCCAAGAGAGAGAGGTTTGGTTTACTGATCCTTCCTCAATGAGATTGCAACGTTGGAGGACAGTTGCAAGCAGCTCAAGCAGCAGATGCAGCAGCAGGATGAAGATAAGAGGAAAAAGGACCGGCGGTCCTGATGGCGGACGAATTGGGTCCTTCCTATTCAAACCTGTATACATCCAACAGAAACAGTGCCAGTGAGAGTTGAGACGAGAGAGAGGGTCTCCATTAGGGGCTCCATTGGTGGCACCTGGCCACTGCATGTCCCTGTGAAACAAGCTTTCTAGGTCGGTGAAGAATTGAATCGACCCACTCGTAGACAACGGTAGACAAGCATCCCGCTGGTACCGCATCTCGGCGTTCTCAACTGAAGTCCTTAATTTGAAGACACCCAGCACCAGCATCAAGGTATTCTAGAATATTAGATACATGTAGACTTGACTTTTGACGTGAACACCAATTACGTAGTCATTAGTAGGTAGATTCCGGAAGTAATTTCCAATAATTTCCATTGTCAATTGCACATGAGAATGCACGGGACAACTTGAAAGTTTCTGTTTTTGGGCAGGACCGAGACCTCAAGGGTGCATTGTTTGGCGTTCATGATATGGCAGGAACAGGCGGAACTGCAAGCGCAACTAGATGAGGAGGAGATGGGAGAACGCACGGGAGGAAGACGGCCGCGAGTACCATGAGAATGGTCCCGGTTGTTGCTTCGTGATGTTTTGCAGAACCTTGCGGCAGATCGAATCTGCGCGTCCAACGCGTTTTGTCATTTGCACATCGCCTTTTTGCAGGACCTGCGTGAGAATGAGCAACTGCTGCAAGAGGCTGGCGACCTTTCTTACAAGATCCCAGAGCCCCTTGGCCGGATCGGACGTCGGCGGACCGACTCGAAAGCGTTCGGCGGACCGACCCAATCAAGGATGTCGGCGGATCATGCGCGAAAGGCAAAGCAAAGTGATTGTACCTGACGCTGTGGGCACTTGTGGGTATATTTCATTATATATATATATATACATATCACCTTCCATGAATTGTATTTGGCTTGAGCAGGTTTGGGTTCAGAGGATTTGTATACTATGGCATACTTACAGTGTGATTATTATACATGTAGTTATTATATAATCTCCCTCATACTCCCACTCGCTGATGCATTCTTGGCCGGGTACCTGGTAGAATGTTCGTGGACAAAGCCACAGCGGCGACTGGGTCGGAAGTGCAAAAGCAAGCACGGAGCCATTTTGTTTTTGCCCTGCTGTCCGCTTTTGACCGGAGTCGACGCTTAGTCTCCTTTGGCCAAGACCACTGGTTGGTGATTTCCCTACCAGACCAAAGCAGCCACTTGTGCCTCTAAAAATGCCACCAGTCACTGGTGGCACAAAGAAAGACTTTGTGGAGTGGTACATGAAACTTTGGCTGTGTCGAATATATGAATAAAACTTGAAACTTAGATGGATTGACCCAGCGCCTCAGGAGAGATTGGGTTGCTCCCTGCCAGCAGGAGAACCGGAAGCTTTCGACGAAGCGGGGCCATGTGGGGTGCTGCCAAATTATTGACCGTAAGGAGCCCTAAGTAGCGTCCTTGCTCCTAGGTGTATTCTTGACTGATTGTTGCAGAGAACAATTAAAGTTTCCAAGTTCGGTCGAAGACTCACCCAGGTTCAGTTCGTTTTTGTCGGTTGTTGAGAAGCATTCGGTGTACGCGAATGGGACTTCATACCAAGCACTAGACTGACATGTAAGACTTGGAGCAAGAGTGGTTTGGCAGCTTTGACCCATCAACTACAGCTCAGAGGCTCAGCCCAGTAGGCTGTCCAGCCATGCGCATGGTGCCGGCAGTCCCTAGCTGGCTGCCAAATATCGAACTATTATAGACTAGACCTGAAAGCTAGAGCCATTGGACTACACACTCATTTTCATCAAGATTCAAGATCTCAGATGAGCACCATTTTTCACAGCACTCAGTCATGAGATTCATTGAGTTTCAATTCTTGATCAAGTAATGTTGATACTTTTCACCTCCTTCAAGGGAGGTGCTTGCCAGTCTGGCAGTGCTTTCAGCATGAAAGAAGGACGTGTCAACACTGTAGAAGATCAGACTTGGAAGTTGCTGAACATCCGAAGAAGCAACAGGAAGTTTGTTCATTTGATAGAAATGTTCTTGATGACCATTGCATTGTTCCTCATGTGGATACTGTCCATGTTCATCCGGTTTCTTCCAATCTTGCCTCACAAGTGCACTTTTTCCCGCAATGCCGGGCATGTGTTTTGTGTGTTGCTCAGAATTGAGAATCTGTTGGTTGGCTACGGTTGGCCATTGAGTGGATTGTCAAGTGACTTCCCCCCGCGATGCCCTAAGAGTAGGCCAATCACCCGAGCCACGGCCAATTGAGCGGAGGAGTCCAGCCCCAAGCCATTGGAGCCGGAGGAGTCTTTGAAGATGAAGAAGTCTGAACGTAGATGCTTTGATGAAGAAGTCGGAGTAGACCGTTGAAGCCCCGGCGGTCTTAATACCATTAGATTTAGGACTGATTGTTTGGTACATGCATACAACCATCAGAAGCCCGCTCAAAAAATACAACCAACATTTCTTACTCTTGGGATGTGGAGGTCTTGAGACGTCTTGAGAACATGCATACTTCAGGAGGAAGAAAGTTTGGTGACAGTTCTCTCCAGAATTTAAACAACGTGTGCTTCCCAATGGAATTCCGGCGGAGGAGATTCTACCCCGAACATTGTAATACTATATACCAAAAAAATGCATCGGGGCAGAAACTCCCCCACCGGAATTCCACTGAGATTCCCTAAGCCCTAAGTGGAAAAGGTTCAAAGGTCAAGTTTTTGCAGGCTTGCTACCAACTTTGTAAACTCTTGTGTGTATTTCTAGTGGTTCACATTGACATTATATACCTATATACACGGTTTACACTGGTGTTCGTGGTCTACGCTGTGTGCGCCTGAAGATTGGCTTTTGTAGTTAGAGAGAAGGATTGATGCCTTTGCTCCTGAGGGTTTGGGGTCTCCGAGGACATGAAAACAGTGACCAAGGACCAAGGACATAGTGAAGGGGATGCACTGGCTCTTTTCTATTTTGGGGTTTGTATAGTATAGTCCAATGGACAGCCCAAGAAGAAGGCACTTGGTGTTTTGGGGTCCATACAATGCCCCATGCAGTTCCTGGGGCTGCTACTCAATAGACATTCGTGAGTCTGAGGGTTCACTGGAAAGCTAAAGCGACACATTGACATATATTTTGATTCTGGCATGTTGTGTTGCATTTTGTCGGCACTGAGGAATAACCCGATACATGACTGCGGAGCCAGATGATAGAGGGGTCGTGAAGGCACTGGGGTGATTGCTTTGCCGCAGATCAGTGATGAAATACAGGAAACAGGCGTTGATAGACTTTCATAAGTGCAGGCAGCCACCTTTGATCACATAAGTCATAAGACCAACAGTTTGGGAAACTGATACCAAAACTAATTTCAAAACCTGCCACGATTGATTGAAGGTTTACATCGATGATCCCGACGTGGCGAATGCATCCAAAGAGAGCATTTCAGTGTCGTGTCTTGGCACTGGCCTAATGATGCATCGTGACCCTTGCTCAGGATTGCATGCATATATGCATGAGATGGATGCAAAATTATAAATGAACAGCATTGCAATCACGTTCCTTGTAAAACGCTAGGGGACGGCAACAAAACAGCTATAAAGGACGTCATAATCCTCGTGCCAATTTTCTCCATAAAATGGGGGGATCGACCCCCCCCAATAATGAAACTGCCATTAGCAGTACTATGTGCCAGACATTGGACAATGGTCGTAATTTGTGGATGTCAAAATCAAGTTTTCCATTCTATAGAGACGGTCTTTGATTGTATAGTTGTTTTTGTTTTCAACGGTTTTTGTTTTATGTATGGAGTGTTCGGTTTGAGTTGCATCAATGGCATTGAATCTAAAGGGGGTGTTGCTTTTGTAGGGACATGTAGGGACTAGTGACTAGTGATTCTGATTGTATAATGTGATTCTCTCATATGCGTCTCATATGAGCCCAGAGATTTTCTACAAAATGAACACATTTAGAATTCAGCTTTTCAAAGAAATATCTTAACATTTTGGTCTTTCAGCCTGCCCTGAGGCCGGTTCTTCATTTTATAGAGGGTCGTTTTGGGCACTTGTGGCATTGCTGATGTCAAGGAGTGGTTTCCATTTTTTTTAGGTGTACTTTTGCCAGCCACGCCTCAGGTTGTTGTGGGCTATCCCAGGGTTGTATCTCCGTTTTATGACTATAGAATGGGGAGCTCAACCCTCACCTGAAATTAATTCACGCCAGGATGCTTCATGTATTTGTTAACAACAAGCGTACATGACATGTTACCTGCTAAGATGTTTAGAGCTCATTTGCTTTTAATTGGAGCGATTTGGCTTCAAACTCGAACAATATTGCAAATCAAGCTTGTTTGTGTCATGGTTTCCTCCAAAGCCAGGTGTATTTGAATGATGCCTCCAGCGACGACGGATTTCGATAGGGGGAACGGTAGCCCCAACTTTCAAGCCCCACTCCCATGTGGTTTTTGAATATTGTGGGTAACAGATAATGTGTTGTAAAATAACACTTGCAGGAAAACATTAATGAAGAGTGCTAAGCCTTGGAAAATTGATGGGGGGGCGGTTAAATACAGCCCACAGAAAAACAAAAGAAAAACCATTGCATGTAGCTCACAGATGACTTTGTCATACTTTTTCAATCCTGATTCCACCCGAGGTTACAGCAATCTTCGTAGCTTGAGAGTGCTGGTTTCATCACTGTCCGACCACAGGTTTAGCATGAAGACCTATACGGTGCGGATCAAGTCTTCGTAAGCTTGGCTGCACATTGTGTGTTTTGTGGGACGAACCGACATAACGGACCTAGTTGTTGACACCCAAGGGGGGCTATTGTCCCAACAGCGGATATGCGAGTTGTACCACTATTGCGGGCGTGTGCGTGTGGCTGTAATTATGGCTCAGTAACAAGAAGCTACAAAGGGTCGGCTACTAGAAGCAAGGACGCTACTAGTAGCTCGTGTCCTTACTACTAGTAACAAGAAGCTGTGTGGAGATAGCTCCAAGTTGTCCAAGTTGCCCTTGGGAGCTTCTTGGGCCACAGGGCGCAGGCCGGATGGTGGCAACCGAGTGATGCAGAAACCAAAGGCAGCTCAACGTAGAGCAGCACTGTGTGTCCCGTGCAGACCGATGGAATGTTTTAAAAAATCTGAGATGCTGCCTGACTGGCATCAAACATGTGGCCGTTGGAACTTGCCTGAATCATGGCACCACATGGCACCACCCATAGAGCAAGCATGTGGCTTCGTGTCCAAGTCGTTCTGACAGCTTGAAGGAATAAACGATGTGACATGCAAAGCTACCAGACCAGTGGTGCCCAGCTTCGCAAGTCCGCCCCGCGACGTACCACATGCAACTCTCCCACGTGCGCTGACATACAGTAGGAGCTCAGAGAGCAAAGGGAGCATGACATAGGTTGTTCCATGTTGTTCCCCCAGTCAACAGATGTGCCACTTGCCTGCATTGGTGGACATGTGTAGAATACTTGGGCGCGATCCGCGGTGCTTTACCATTCTCGTCAGGTGATCGGGTTGTCTCCATGAGTTTTGCTCGTGGCTCCAACTTTGCTTTTTGCCGCAAGCCACTGCACCAAAGACTCCCTCCAGCATGGTTGAGTTGGCAGGTACGAATTGTTTTGTCAGTAGCCTTTGTCTTATGTGGAATCATTGTATTTAGGGTGCATGAACCTGTTTAAAGTAGCGATGTCCGACAACGAGGCACCCCGTTGTGATCCGCTTGAGTCGTTGCAGTCTAGTGGCACATCATTCCGGCCAGACTCGAGCTGCTCTTGATGTCTCGTGGTATGCGCTGTGCAGCATGCCAGCCTGCGCTCCCAAGAACAAGAACCTGCCGTGAGAATCACAACTTGGCTGTTGGCATCCTTTGCTGACATAACTTGGCTGTTGTCCTAATTTGGTGCAGTGCTTGAGTAGGGCGACATGCCCCTTACCAACGGCCATTTGGTTGCGAGTGTCATTTGCCCATGCTTTTCGGGGAACACAAGTGTGGGTCAACTCCGAAGACCCTAAAGATCACCATCGGTGAACGAGCTGAACACCAGTGGTGAGGAGTCATGGACACGAAGTGAGTGACCTTGAAGATTTGTTCACTAGCACTTCCCTTGTAGAGTTCTATGGGGTTCTAGTTTACGGCCAAATGCCTTAGTTCATGCAAATGTTGGTCCAACAGACACGAAGTCGAACTAGCCTTGGGACTGTGTGGAGGAGTAAAGGCTACTTCAAGACAACAGCGAAGCCAGCACTCACACTAAACAGAAATCGACTTCAAGCGTGATATTCCAACATATTCCCATACAACATATTCATGATGTTCCCATATTTTCCCATATTATTCGTCCATGACTCGCTGTTCCTGGCACTGCTGCGATCCACCCACCGCCCCCCAGCGAGGCCGCCGTTGGTACTGGGCCCCGTGGAGTGTGATGTCATTGACCCCGAGCGTTCGACCTGGCGGCTCTCACCGCCGCTTGGGAAGCGATGGCGTGAGAGAAGACTCATAAAAGTTCATAGTGTATATAGAACTCTTGATTAATATCTAGCCCTTCCCATTTGGATTGCAAAGCCTCTTCATGTGGGGGGTTTATTAATCAAGAGTCTACAGTCTACATTGATAATATGAGGCAAGATTCAACAGGGTCAGTCCCGTTTTGTGACTCAACTTGCGACTTCGGGGCCCAGAGAGTATAGTGCAAGTTGTGGGCTTGGCGGTTCTGGGACTTTTGGATCTCTATCGCCTTTTTTTCCCCTCTCCACTGCCATGAACTTTGAAGAACGGGAGCGTGTGTAGATGGAGAGGTTGGATGATCATGGGACAATTGGCAAGGGATCATTTGGTGATTTGCCGGTGTCCATCTCTTCCAGAAAGAGAAACAGCTTATGAGATGATCGTTTTGAGGCGACAGATGCAGCCGGCATGACCATTCCGAATTGGTTTTTGGACATGTTGCGTTTCAGCAAGACTTAGCCGGGTGGAAATGCTCTCAACTCGTTCATTTCCAAGAACTGCATGTTTGCTTTGCTTTTGGGTCCCGGCACAGCCACCGGACCTGGCGGCCTTTGCCCGCCGTCCCTCACCTCTTCGTGCCCACCTGAGGGGGAAGCGGCTCACCCTGTCGCTCATGCTGTCGGAGGCCGGAAAGATCAACCACAAGAACAAGAAGAGTCTTGGCTCAACCGGAATGGGGATCGGCTGGAGATTCTTGGACAAGAAGAGTCTTGGCTGGGGGAATTGTACAAGATCAACCGGAGTGGGAATGGCTGGGGGAATTGGACATGGCTGGGGATCTTTTTCGTGTCTTTCACAGTGGTGTCTTTGGGGGGGTTGATGAACCACACCACACATGTAGCCCTGGAGTGTTGTGAAATCGTCAAAGTGAACTTGTCCATAAGTGGGACAGTGAATGGGCCCCCCCTATTGGTGTGGTGGGTTCTGAAGAAGTACAGTAGGTCAAGGAGACTTCTAGACATGCAATGCAAGGAGGCAAGGCATGGCAGAACACTCGCTTGTGACGCTTTGCTGGTGACGTTGTTCAGGTATTTGGAAATGGGTTCAGACTTGGTGCAGCGGAGATTTACTTCTGCCCATATAGTTGGCTTTAGCAACTTTGCAACCCGACTCTAAAAGACTTGCCTTCTGGGCCGGCAACGATGCAGATAGCCAGAGAGAGAGAAAGAGAAACTGAGGAGAGCATATATCGAAAGAGCATTGAACAGAAGGGAGCGTAAGTCATTCTTTATTGCAGGAAGCAGGTGCTGCACATGTTTTTAAAGCGCTGGCGGCCACCAATCGCACGGCACCCTGGACCTGAAAAGCCATTCCACCGACCTCGGTTTCTGTGACTGCCCACTTGGGTGGGTTGGGAAAAACAGTCCTGTTACTTCCCGAATCCACAGACTGCCCAGGTTTCTGTAGAAGTCTTTGGAGCCCATCTTGGACCTGAAGAGAGATATCTTTGTTCGGAAGTCAGACTTGGACCTGAAGAGATGTTCATCGAGCGGTCAGCCAGGAGGTGGGATGAGCTTGAAGCCAAGATGAAGGCTGACAAGGACTGACGGAGTAGAGTCCTGGACCTGCTATCCCCTGCACCCGTTGAGGGGTCTCGGTCGGGAAGAACGACGGTTGTTCTTTTTGGAGAGGTGTGGTTGATTACTTTTACGTGTTTCTTTCTGGTTTGTACAATCCCACTTTTTGCTTTGGAAACACGAGTCAGTAGCTGAAGTTGAATTCGGGTAGAACAGCAATGCAAAGAATATGATCATCTCTTGACATGTTTTAGTGTACCACGTCTTTCCTAATGATTGGTTAGGTGTGCAGCGCAGAGCCAGTCTAGCCTTTGCGCCGAATGACCCAGGAGAGTGGCATCAAACCCACTCCGCCAGAACCCGTGGTGCAGAAGCAGGGCGTCCTAGACTCCCAGGGTGCTGTCCCGTGACCTGTTTGGTCGGTCGGCATGGACGACCTTGACCAAAAAACCGCGTCGTCTATGGGAATGATGGGAAGATTTGATGAGACAAGACCAACAAGGCCCGCGTTTTCGTGTCCTGTGTTGATGCGCGCAGAGTTTACCGCGATGAAAGCGAACTCCACTATTGCTTTCCACCAAAAAGAGGCAGACAACTAGTAATGCAGACATAGGCAACTTGTAATTGTAATACTTGTAAATGGTTTCTGCTGCAGTGCCTGAAGTCCTTCAAAGGCCTTTGACAAATACATTGCTGTGTGATCCCATATCATACAGTCCTAAAGGAGTCCTACAATGCCAACATGTTCGCCACGAAATAGTCCCAGCGACCGAGTGGAGTTGGCGAGAGGCAGCTGGAGCGTTTCCCCCAACTCAGTGTTCTTATGGCAAGCCTTCAAGTCACCGAGCAGAAACATCAGATGAGAAAGTTTGCCAAGCCTGCCCATTCCTGAAAAAGTTGTTGTTGGGCACCCTCGACAGCAAGCAATGCTGATCGGCTTGAGCTTCTGGGTGAGACAAAAGAAGACCGACAGACAGAACAAGATTGGCCTCTCAGTGCCGACTGAGGCCCAGAGCCAACAGTGATCGCTACAGGTCCTATGTCATTGCTTTCTTACTGGCCCTTTTTGCCATTGGCTTGGGCTTGGTTTTTGCTCCGCGATAGTGCGTTGAATCATCCTTGAATCATCCTGCAAAAAGCACATGATTCATGTTGCAAAAACATTCTCGACCAAAGATAGGTCAGTGGCGACTGCCCGAGAGTGAGGCTGTCCCTCGAGGTTGCTTGCGAAATGTGAAGAGTTTGATTTTGAGGGCTGGAGAAGGGAGGCCAATACTTTCGAGGCAGAAGCAAACGTAGATATGTTCATTTAGTTTGGATTGTCACTAGGTGTTTTCCATGTCGCCAAATGTGGGACTAAAAAGGGATGAAACCATGAACCATGCGGGACCATGCGTGGGTTTGTGAATCACAAGCTGTGCAATCATGTGCAATCCACATCCCTGCGATCTACTGGATCCAATGGATTTGTGCCAAAGAGGCTCCTTGAAGATCCGGGCACACGTGGCCAAAGGGAACCCATGTGCCTTCAGCAAAGACCAAGACCTTTGAAAGCGCACGGTGCGGAAGAAAGTGGAAATCATATTCGGCTTGAGCTTGCTTCGAAGTGGAGTGTGGATGGGGCGATCTCCCGGTTCAACTCTTAAGGGCTTTAACAGTAAGACTGTGTGTCTAGACAAGTTTGCTGTAGCGCACGTGGATATTAGTGAGTCATCTCAGCTTCACTTTCGGTTGGATCCTGATCACCTCGCTGGGGGCCAATCGTCGAACCGTCACTGTCACCCCGCTTGGTGTGAAAAGCAGGGCGACTTGCAGAAACCGGTCACGCCGTCTTCCTTCGCAGGCCCGCACCGTGGCCAAGATCGCCGGGAGCCGAGTTCCGGGGGTTGGTGAGCGAAACGAAGCAGCGGACATGTTGCACGGCCAATTTTCTCGGGTTTGAGACCGGTCAGTCACATAAATGGAAGAGCGAAACGAAGGGCACCGCAGAACATCGCAGGGCTCTTTTCAGGTCAGAAACTGTTTTCAAAGAACGCATTAACTGCGTGATCTTCAATTTTGCTGACCCGAGGTGGTCAGTGGTCACGTGGAGAAGCAGCGTCACTTCCCCTCGAACCTCGGGGCCGGGACGACGAGGGTAGAGGGTTTCGTGAACGTTTGATTCTAAGTGGTAGTGAAGTAGTTAAGAGAGTCCTAGAAGTGATTTCGTTTAAGCTACTCGCAGTCACCAGCGGACCTTTGGCATGGTCGAGCGGCTTGCGAATTGGTGGATTTTGCAAACGGCTGTGGCTTGCGAATTCGCTGGGCCTGCGACGACTCCGTGCTCAAAGACCGAGGGCGGCGTCAGGGCGGACGTTGTTCCGCAAGAGGACATGCAGTCGCAGGATGGCACCGATGACCTCACAGCAGTGGTGGATTTAGGTCAAAACCTAGAAGCAGTTGTATAACAGTCCCGATGGTTTACCTACCACCCCCCCAAGAAGAATCAAAAAGAAACGAATGGCCCCAACGTTCTAGTGAGATCTCAAGCAACGATGAAGCCGCGAGGTCTGTGACACCCTTTCAGCCACCAATGCAGCCGCCAGGCGCCCGGGGCTCCCATCGGCTTCTCCTGGAGTGGAACACTCGGGCCGCGTGGATTCGGAGCGTCGACCGTGGGGTGTAGCGGAGCATGTTCACCTTTCGCGGGCGGCCTAGACCGACGAACTCTGTTCGCCCAGGCGCTACTGGGACCTTGGACCATCTCATGCCCCATGTTCAAAGCACTAAGGCGAAGGGATTTGAGCAGGACCGGCGGGTTTTAGAGGGGCACACCACCGAAAAGATCATCAGGGCGGGGCATGATCATAGGAACAAGAACTCTGGAGCATGACAGTATCATACCTGACTGTAAATCACTTTGGTGATGCCAGTGAAGTGAACCTGTCAACACTGTGGATTCCGCAAGTCCTCTCTTGATGGAGCCGAGAGAGCAGCGCCAAGGAACGTGAGCCTTGCAGAAGGCAGTGGTTGCTGGGCGGCCTAGACTTTCAGTTTTGCTCCGCACTAGTGGTGTGGAAATGGCAGGGTCCCTAGTGCACTTTGAGCCTTACTTGTCACAGGTCCCCTGAGACTTGTTCAATTGTTCTTCTTTACGCGATAGCTCGCGATAGCATTTGAGAATTGGTCCCCCCATGTGAGGGTTCTGACGCGCCCCCCTTGAGCCTTCTGCGAAGTCAACGGTTCTTTGTCTTCGAGGGGGTTGAGAGGGCCCTGACAGGACCGGGAGGTGGTAAGGAGGACAAAACACATGCGTTGCTTCGTGATGCCAAAGAGAGAATGGAACCTACTGCAATTCTGTTTTAAAAAATAGAATTGTTAGAACCCAAGTGCCATTCAGAGAGAAAAAGGATGAATTTCTTGTTGCATTTGAGCACATCAAAGGTGGATATCACAGATAGATTTCGAGCATTGTTCAGGAGCCTGAAAGGGGAGTACTATTAGTACTATCATGTACTATCTAGCTCCGCGACACAGAAATGCCTGAGATGTGTGTTGACTAGTGGAGCCGCCCTCAACCTTCCCAATTGTGTTAATCATTGTTAGCTTGAAAGCATGCTTCCCAGAGGGTAGGTTTATGTAGGTGTCATTGATGTGGACAACTTTTTTCTAAGTTGCTTGACACTTGCAGTATTTTGCAATGATTGCAAGCATTGTCACTGTTCCATGAAAATCCTTTGGCACTCACTTCCACCGCAGTACACGAGGCTTGCCGCTGCAGAGTGAAGTGAAGCTTCCAGCTGCTACGGCGGCTGAGCTGTACCAGGGACGGTTGAGCTGCTGGTTCCACAACTTCCCTGGCTCCCTAGTTGGCCCCTGCAACTCTTTTCAACCAAGAATGTCAGAAAAATGGGTCCGCGTTTGTGGCCTTTGATGCGGTCCTCTTTTCTCGTGTTTTCATGTGTGTTCTGTTTATTTATTCAAGCGGGTTAGCGCAGTTTCCTTCACAAGATGTAGCCGGTCACATTGTTTTTTTTCTCCGGTTTGAGCAACATAACTTACCTCGGCTCTACCCTTCAACAATTATGGGTACATGGAACTCGGTCCGCGGAAGCCTGCCATTGTATATAGAGAGTCTCTTATATACATTATATACGAAAAACATATGCAGCGTGCGCACATATACATGTATATAACATATTAATATATATATATATATGCGAAAGTGTGATATGAATACATAAACACATATGTAACATGTATGTGTTTGTTGTTGTGTGGATTTATTGGTAGAATGTAGGTGAGCGATGTAAATGGGCGAGGCGAGGGGGGGAGTTTCGTCAAGATCTTGGTTTCTCCAAGATCTTGGCACTGCTCCACACAGCTTTGTTCTTTCTATACAGTGTGTTTTCACTGGCTTGTGGACAGAGCCAAGCCCATGCAAAAGTAGTTTCCAGCCAAATGACAACCTCAATCAATGCTGACAGTTTAACCCAATTAAACGATGACAGCGTGACCACAAGCTAGACAAGATTGAAATACACATATTAACGATATTGTTAAACAAGTTCACTCAACTTTGATGATGTACTTGCTCAATGTCAAGCTGCATATGTGGCTCGAATCGCGCACACAACTTGGTCTTTGGGTTGGCTAGCTGTGGATGATGTGCTTCCACTGCCACATAAGGACAGGTAAAACAATTGAACAAAGACTTTGGGTTGTTGCTTTTTTGCTTGTTGCTTTTGGAGCACAACGTATGCTGAGGGTAGCTTTTCCCAGTTGATGCACCAAAGTCTGACCAGCGAACTCGAACACCGAGGAACACTGACCCCGAAAACCATAACTCAATCCCAGGGTCCAGCCGCTTTTTTAGGCAATTCGGCCAACAAACAGGTCATTTTGTGTGAGGGTTGTTGGCAGATGCTTTCCTCTGATTTTTCTATGCTGAGGCCTGCATGTACTACCAGAAGTTGAATGCCTCCCAGAAGAGCTTCTTGGGGGTGGACAAGAAATGATTCCGATAAGTTTTTGCTCTCGCCATTTTGCAAGAGCTCGAGACATTGCCAACTGCCACTGGAACGAGCCCGGTTTCATCGTATAGAATCTTAGATTTGATTTGCAGCTTGTGACTTCTTCAGGCGTCACAGGAGGCCAGGTGCGTTTGTCAATGTAGGGACATCCCGAAAGGAAGAATCCTTCAGGAAGCACATTCAGTTGGCAAGTGGTGTCTCTTGATCAGCGTGTCCAACTGACAAAGGTCGGTGAAGCCTTGGAGGCTTTGGACCTTAATGCCTTGAGGTCGTCCATAAGCCCACAAGCCCTAAACAGGCCCTAACAGGGACACGATGCATCCAGGATTTCGGGATCCAAGATGAACCATGACAAGATGTTGACTCGTGAAGCCGACCTTCGAGCATTCACCTGGTTTACGGCCCGTTTTCGCACCACGCAAAGGAGGCGACTGGGGCGGAGAACACATGTTATATAGTGGAAATCGGAGTCTATAAACCACCCTCAAAGGGTGGTGCTGCTATCATATACACCCCTCTCTATATCAAAAATTGGGTATATAAGATGGTTAAGCATGCATGTATAGGGCCTTTGTTTTCTTTTTCTTTGTTTTTTCGGCAGATGCGATGGCGTTGGTCTCACCTTCCCCCCCTTCGCGTCCTCGCCCCGGAGGCCGGTGAAACCGGCGGGAAACGACGCGATGGGGCCGGAAAAAGGGCGTGGTTTGGTGGGCGAATGGCACTTTATCATAATTATTTGTTCCTAGTAGCGTCCTTGCTCCTAGTAGCGATGCTCTTTGTTCCTAGTAGCTTCTTGTTCCTAGTAGTAAGGGGCTCCTATACTAGTAGCGATGCCGTTTGCTCCTAGTAGCATCCTTGCTCCTAGTAGCGATGCCCTTTGTTCCTAGTAGCTTCTTGTTCCTAGTAGTAAGGGGCTCCTAGTAGCGATGCCGTTTGCTCCTAGTAGCG